TCTATGTACATCTAAGAAAAAGAGTAAATAAATTATGGAATGGCTATCTAAGAAGACTAATAAAAACTTACAGTGTAGATGAGCATTTGATTATGTGAGGAAATATTAATGTAATGGTAAGTGAGAAATACATTTTAAGCAGGGCCACAAAGGTAGATAGATATTATGATCTCATTTTCATTCTTAAACCTGCTCTTATGCTTTGTGTATATATATATATATATATATATATATATATATATATATATAAACTGGCAGGAATCCACCAAATATTGCCAGTGGCTTTCTATTCAAGGAAGATTGCATAGGATTTTTATTTTCTTCTTCATAGTCTAGATTCCAGTCATTCTACAAAGAATATGATTTTCATAATAAAAATACAATGACTTTTTAAAGTATATCAGTGTTCTATTAAGATGTCAATGTGACTGAAAAATAAAAATTAGTGTAATTCAGTGTCTAGAAAAAGGCAAACTATATCAGGCTGGCTTTATCAGTATCTGCAAGCAGATATCACCACTGGGTCAGGGCTTGGGGGAGGGGGGTGGGTAGTCATTAGTCCAGATCACGAGGCACCAGGTAGGATGAAGGGACCAACTCACTTCAGCCCCAAGCCTCTCAAAGCAAGATTTCCACCTCCTGGGACAGGAAGTGGAGAATATGGAGAGAGTATACATGCTGAGAGTATACGGAGCCAAGGTATTAGCCTTGAGCTGGAACTTTACATTAGCCAATGGTAAGCAATTTGTGCCATTGTTTTTATATTAAAAGTGAAAGGTCATTGCTGAGCTGTGAAAGATGCCAGGGTTTTTGGCCTCCAGAAGAGGAGAATTCAATCTGGGGCCAGTGACAAGGCTTGATAGCTCAGAGCTTTGGTGTGATAAAATTTTATTAAAGTATAAAAGAGACAGAGAAAATTTCTGACATAGACATCGGAAGGGAGCAGAAAGAGTGCTCCCTGCTAGTCTTTAGCAGGACGTTATACAACTACTATAAGTGAAGTCGCTCAGTCGTGTCCGACTCTTTGTGACCCCATTGACTGAAGCCCACCAAGCTCCTTGGTCCATGGAATTCTCCAGACAAGAATACTGGAGTGGGTTGCCATTTCCTTCTCCAGGGGATCTTCCAGACACAGGGATCAAACCCAGGTCTCCTACATTGTAGGCAGGGCTTTGCCATCTGAGCTACCAGGGAAGCTAGGCTGCTAATTAGTGAAAGGGAATGTCACAAAACTCAGAGACTAGCACCAGGCCCCTCACCCACAACATGCATTTTGAGATAACATTGACACAAGGTGAGTCGTCCTGGGCCATAAAATGATTGACATGACTCTTGAAAGGCAAGTTTCCAAGTAAACATATAGCTTCATTATCATAAATTAGGAGAACAATGTGTGAGTAAAACAAACTGTTTCGTTGAGCCCTTATCCGTTCTGAGAGTGTTAAGCAGAACCAACTTGAAGAAAGACAGAGTCTAGGGTAAATACTTAGTTCATTAACATAGTTTAAGAAAAACATTTCCATAAGAAAGATGTATTGGTTAACTCAAGGTTTGAGAAAAGTTAAGTTCAAGTGGAACCAGGTGTCCTCATGGCAACACAAAATTTTAATAGAAACCTCCTTTAATTTTGTACAGAGAAGGGGAAAAAAATGACCCTTGTAGTTTGTTTCCTCCTGCCGCTTAAGAAAGAGATTAAAAAAAAAAATGTCTGACACTTGCAGCCTATTTCCTCCATTTGCAGACCCCTAGCCTCCCTGCCTGTTACTCTCTCAAAAGCAAACTACAAAATCCATATGAACTTTTAAGAAACCTGGGGTCTGTGAAAGGCTGTTTTAGGCTATGCTCTTAAAATCACTGCCTTTACCAATAGGTTAGAGGAAAGACTCAGCCTCTGCACTGTTGACACTTAATCCAGCTCATTCTTAGTTGTCACTGGTAGGGGCAGGGGGCAGAGGGCTGTCCTCTGCATTAAATGTTTAGCATCCTTGGCCTCCACCCACTAGATGCTGGTAGTGAACACCAAAATGCCTCCAGCCGTGCCGAATGCCCCCTGGCACACAAAATCAACCCTGGTTGAGAGCACCAGTGGCTAAGTGCCATCAATAGCACTTTGTTGACAGATTCTCATTTCGTGAAGTCTTTTAAGAGAAATTAATCCTGCTAAACTCCAAAGACTAATACAAAGAGAGAATTCAAAGTGGAGTTGCACGACATATTAAATTTCATCTAAGTGCACTTGCCTTAAAAATAATGAGGGGGAAAAAAAAAAGAGCGGAAGGGTAGGAGAGGCAGAGAAGGTAATTGCAGCCTAAACCAGATAAACATGCAGGGCAGGTAAATAGTCAGTCTCCTTCAAGCATGGGCTGCAGAGTAAGGGCGGGGGACCCCAGCAGGCAGACCACCCTGAGCAGAGTGCAGGCTCCTGGACCATCTCCTCCCTCATCTCTGGGTGACCTCCACACCCCAATTGGGGTTTTGGTTCTTTACTACTTTCTTCCTGGATAAAACTCCCTGTAGTGGACTGCCCAGCATGGCAGAATCTGCCTGATTGAATCCCAAATGACACAGTGCATCTGTCGGGACCACGTTAAATTTGTAAGTTAACTTGGGGAAAATTGACAACCCTGAGATGCTGTCTTTCTCTTCAGTGGTCAGATTTTCATCTGTGTCCCTCCCCAGAATTTCAAAGTCCGACTTAGCTCTTGTGTTTGTTTGTTGTGCTTCTTCCTATGTATACTGTCTTCCGTGTGACTGGTATGAATGGAACTGCTGCACAGGACGGCTGTAAGGATGCAGTGAGTGGCCATGTAAGATGTTCAGGGTGGTCCCTGCCTCACACTAAGTGCCCTATAAGTGTGCGCTGTGATTATCATCTAATTTCTCCCTGTACCCTCCAAATGATTGTTTGAATGTGAGTCAGTTGTTCTGTTTCAGTTTCATCCCAGCTGCAGTTCAGGTGAAGCTGGGGAGCAGGACTGGATCTTGGGGTGTCATTTTAACAGGACAGTGTGGTGTGCTGGTAATAGACCCATCCCACAGTCAGTTCTCAGCCCGCTTATAGATGCCCCTTCCCCACTCGTCTACCCCAGAACTAGGGTCTTCTCTTTAGTGGCCCATCTTGCCCAGAAGTCATGGACTATTTGCTACTGATATCTAATCATTAGAAGCAAGAATATAATTATTATCACCCTCATGAACACACGCACACACAAACAGCTTAGGAAAATGAAGTTTAAAATTCCTAGCAATCAAAATATTCCTGTGGGTTGTCTTACAGTCTAAAACAAAACTAATGCTTGCTGCTGACTCTTGTGAAACACACTGATACTGCTCTCTGTGTATCAGTGAGTAAAGTCAGGTAACAAAAACTTCCCCAAAACTCGGTAGTTTAAAGTAACAACCAACTAACTCTGATCGTGGGTCTACAGGTCAGCTGGGTTGCTCTGCCAGCCTGGGCCATCCTTGGTGAATCTCAGGTGGCCTCACTCACGCATCTGTGGTCAGCTGGAAGGTGAGCCACAGACTGGCTGGTCTGGGGTGGCCTCCCATGTGGGGTGACTGTTAGCTGTGGCAGTGAACCCGACCGGGCTGTCTGTCATCACCTGCACGCTAACTCAGGTTGGTTCCCATGGTCTCTGAGAGAAAGCAGACATGGGTTGGGCTCCTTGAGATTTATGCTCAGAATCGACCCAGGACCACTGCCCACCACACTTCCAGCAAGGCAGGAAGCCAACCCAGACTCAAGGGTGGGAAATAGACCTCCCTCTCTTAGTGGGCAGGGCTACAGACTATAATATAAAGGGGTCAAGAATACAGAGAAAGCCTAACAGGTTAGAGTTACAACCAGTCTCCCTACATCAAGGTGAGAATGCTTCCAGCACTGGTTTCCTTTGAGCAGAGGTTGCCTGTCTCATTAGCAGCCCACTGTGGGCTGGTTCAGGGGAAGGTTCCCCAGCGGGTAGCCTCACTCACTGATGCTGATTCATGTCTGTTTCACTTTCCAAGGGCCCCATCCTTGACACTGAGCCCAAATCTGAGCCTGCTTGAGAGGGTGAGCCTTGCACCCTCTCAGTTGTAAAGATGTTACAGTTCCCTCTGGGTCTTGGTTTCTGCGGGGAGTTGCCGGTTTGGATGAAGTTTTCCAAGACAGATTTACCAAGACACTGAGGACACTTCCAAGCTAGTGGCTGAATCAAACTTTGTTGGTGTATCAACTCAGGCAGTCACAGGCTAATTAACTCCAAGTCCTATGAGAAGCAATCAAAATGTCACTTCTCATTGTCAGGAGGCAGGAGACCTTGGAGGTAATTCAGACATGTGTGCATGCTCAGCTGCTAAGACTGTCCTACTCTTTCCGACCCCATGGACTGTAGACCTCCAGGCTCCTCTGTCCATGGGATTCTCCAGGCAAGAATACCAGAGTGGGTTACCATGCCCTCCTCCAGGGGATCTTCCCAGGGATATGTATCATATATATATAATCTGTAAGTAAATGTGTACTTTAATACTTACAATATCTACACACGCATGTAAACCTATGTAAAATATACATAATATGTGTAAAACAGAAGCTAGATATAAATATATTTTACATCTTACATAGCTAAGTATAAATTTACAAGCACATTTGCATTTTTGCTGGAAAATGCCTGAAAGAATGTAAGTATTATATGCAGAGGGATTTTTTTTCATTTTCCTTTCCATACACTTTGATTTTTACCATGAGGATGTTCTATGTTTAAAGCAGTTCATTTCTCAGTTTTAAGGAGCTTCTTCCAGTCTTTCCCACCTTGTTATTCCCAGATTAAATTGTAGATTGGGGTGACTTTATACTGAATCCTTCCTGCAAAGAAAAATTCTCAGGGCGCCTGTTCAGAAGGACAGTGGTTTTTAAGGGCAGATAGAAATGAAGCCAGCCCTTGGGTTCAACTGCTTAAAGAGGCCAGGCGGACCCCCCCGCCCCTGCAGCCTGCGCATCCCTCTCTGTCCCCCACCCCCAGGGCCGCGGGGGCACAGGCAGCATCTACGTGTGGGCCTCAGGCGACGGCAGCAGCTACGACGACGGCAACTGCGCTGGCTACGCATCGAGCCTGTGGACGATCTCCATCAACTCGGCCATCAACAGTGGCAGGACCATGCTCTGCCACAAGAGCTGCTCCTCCACGCTGGCCTTTACCTTCAACAACGGGCGCAAGTGGAGCCCCGAGGCCGGTGTGGTGAGTGCGGGCCAGGGGTGCGCGTAGACATGCGTGACGTCATACCCAGACAGGGTGACATCACGGAAGGAGGCCCTCCTTCAAAGAGTCAGCCCCCCATTCTGAGCGGAGATGCCCCCTCTTCTAGGCTGGTGATGCTTTGTTATCAAGGTCGAGACCTCACGAAAAACAAGAACGCCATGACCTCCTTGCTGCTCATGGTCCATAGACTTTCCTGTTCATTGTTCTGGCTTACAAATAATGGTGAACTCTAGTTTACCAAGATGTTGCCCCAGCACATTACTTATAAGGTAACTAATATTAAGAACTGGAGCATCAAACGTGCACCCCATCTGAGCCAAGAACACATCCATTTATTAGAGTAATTTAGAAATGGCATCCACAGATGGACTTTTCCTGGTCCTTAGACCTCCCTAGAAGTGGGCACATGTGTGTTTTTGCAAAGGAAGAGTAGTGTCTTTCATAATATTTTTAAACTGGGTCCACAATTGAAAAAACCAAAAGCTTAAGAATCACAGACATTTATTGCACTCTTCTGAGCAACTCTTCCTTCCTGGGCACTTAGGTTTAATAGTGAATTTTCTAAGTCCGCTAGACATACAGCCTTTTCTCAGTCCTCCAAGCCAGGAATTTACTGAGTGGCTCAATAGTCCTGCTGGGCTGCATCCTGCCTTGTCAAAACCTTCTCCAGGGTTGGGAGTAAGGCAGGAACAAGAATGCAGTCATCAGTACCAGCTAGCCCTTCAGTCACAAGGTCCTGCCCTGGGCTCCACCCATCCAGCTGGCCAGGTTCTCACATGAGCTAGCAGAAGTTCCTTGCCTGCAAGAGACTCAGGCCTTAGCCTGGCTCCCCCATGAGACCCCCTGATTTCTCCCATGAGCCCCCTCAGCTCCCCTTAGTCTTGGGGAGCATGGAAAATGTGTCAGCTCCTCCCAAGTGGAAGGAGGTTTCACTCTCTCATCTTCTGAGCTGTGTGGGCAGAAAGGGACAAGTGAGGGTGGTCCCAAACTCATTCTGCTTGTAAACCTTTTCCCATACCCTCCCCCAGAAGCTCCCCTCCATATCCCAAGGCCCTTCCAGTGGGATCACCCTTCCTCAGCCCCTGTCTGTGACTCTTTCTATTACAGCTGAGGAGGGGCACTGAATTCTCTTTGAATATGGTCACTTTCCCCAGGAGATGATGTTAAACCTCCCTGATGCTTTGTTCCCCAAAATAATAGACCCACTCAAGGAGCCTACAGACAAACAGGAGAAATGAGTATTCTCATGGTTTATAAACAATCTTAATGAAAACCCTGTCTCTCACAAACATTGAAGATGAGGATTTTCTCTTTCATCATTTAAAACTCAGCTTATCAGTCTCCCCACTTAAGAAGAGTCCTGGAGTGATCACTGATGTAGCAGTTGTCTTGTTCACTGTGTTCCAGAATCTCTTGGTGGATTTTAGATGTAGAGAATGTAACATTTTCTCTTTAATGGCTGTCCCTCTAGGCAAACTTTAGCTGAACTTGTTTCATTTTTCCTCTTTGGGAATGCTACCCATTTTTCCTGAGGGGAAATGAGATTTTTTGAAATGGCCCTGAGCTTTCTGAGCTAATCTCAGTGTAACAAACCCCAGCATTGCATTAACTGTGGTGGTGGTATTGGCTTGTCACTTTCCACCTATAATGTTTCCTTTTAGGGTCCATAAAATAAATATCTCTTTTGTATGGAAATACAAAAAACCTCGAATAGCCAAAGTAACCTTGAGAAAGAAGAATGGAACTGGAGGAATCAACCTGCCTGACTTCAGACTATACTACAAAGCCACAGTCATCAAGACAGTTTGGTACTGGCACAAAGACAGAAATATAGATCAATGGAACAGAATAGAAAGCCCAGAGATAAATCCACGAACCTATGGTCACCTTATCTTCGACAAAGGAGGCAAGGATATACAATGGAAAAAAGACAACCTCTTTAACAAGTGGTGCTGGGAAAACTGGTCAACCACCTGTAAAAGAATGAAACTAGAACACTTTCTAACACCATACACAAAAATAAACTCAAAATGGATTAAAGATCTAAATGTAAGACCAGAAAATATAAAACTCCTAGAGGAGAACATAGGCAAAACACTCTCCGACATAAATCACAGCAGGATCCTCTATGACCCACATCCCAGAATTTTAGAAACAAAAGCAAAAATAAACAAATGGGACCTAATGAAACTTAAAAGCTTTTGCACAACAAAGGAAACTATAAGCAAGGTGAAAAGACAGCCCTCAGATTGGGAGAAAATAATAGCAAACGAAGCAACAGACAAAGGATTAATCTCAAAAATATACAAGCAACTCCTGCAGCTCAATTCCAAGAAAATAAATGACCCAATCAGAAAATGGGCCAAAGAACTAAACAGACATTTCTCTAAGGAAGACCTACAGATGGCAAAAAAACACATGAAAAGATACTCAACATCACTCATTATCAGAGAAATGCAAATCAAAACCACAATGAGGTACCATTACACGCCAGTCAGGATGGCTGCTATGCAAAAGTCTACAAGCAATAAATGCTGGAGAGGGTGTGGAGAAAAGGGAACCCTCTTACACTGTTGGTGGGAATGCAAATTAGTACAACCACTATGGAAAACAGTGTGGAGATTTCTTAAAAACCTGGAAATAGAACTGCCATATGACCCAGCAATCCCACTTCTGGGCATACACACCGAGGAAACCAGATCTGAAAGAGACACATGCACCCCAATGTTCATCGCAGCACTGTTTATAATAGGCAGGACATGGAAGCAACCTAGATGCCCATCAGCAGATGAATGGATGAGGAAGCTGTGGTACATATACACCATGGAATATTACTCAGCCATTAAAAAGAATTCATTTGAATCAGTTCTAATGAGATGGATGAAACTGGAGCCCATTATACAGAGGGAAGTAAACCAGAAAGATAAAGACCATTACAGTATACTAACACATATATATGGAATTTAGAAAGATGGTAACGATAACCCTATATACAAAACAGAAAAAGAGACTCAGATGTATAGAACAGACTTGTGGACTCTGTGGGAGAAGGCGAGGGTGGGATGTTTCAAGAGAACAGCATCGAAACATGTATATTATCTAGGGTGAAACAGATCACCAGCCCAGGTTGGATGCATGAGACAAGTGCTCGGGCCTGGTGCACTGGGAAGACCCAGAGGGGTCGGGTGGAGAGGGAGGTGGGACGGGGGACTGGGATGGGGAATATATGTAAATCCATGGCTAATTCATTTCAATGTATGACAAAAACCACTGCAATGTTGTAAAGTAATTAGCCTCCAACTAATAAAAATAAATGGAAAAAAAAATTTTGCCTTAAAAAAATAAAATTAAATTAAAAAAAATTAAATAAATAAATAAATATCTCTTTATTAGAATAGCTGCTGAGTTGCCTTTCTAAACAGTTGACTTGCTTGTATCTTATGGACACTTAACTGATTTTGTTTCCCTTTTTGCATAGGATACTAGGAAGCTCAGATAAAATGTCTGGCAAAATAGATACATGAGTGCTAAGCTTATTCTTACCTCTATCTAAATTGTCTTCAGCACAAGGCAGACTTTAAGTAAAAGAAACAGAAGATCCTCTGCTCTGTGTTGTTTTGGGTAAAGCAGTGGGGTTTCTTCACTTTTTCCTCACTCTTTTCCCATCCAGGCAACCCCAGATTTATATGGCAACTGCACCCTCAGGCATTCTGGAACATCCGCGGCTGCTCCTGAAGCAGCTGGTATGTTCACACTGGCTTTAGAGGCTAAGTATGTTTGTGGCTCGGGACCAAGAGCCAGCTCTGCAGGGTGAACCGACACAAGTCTCTCAACCCAACACCAAGTGTCCATGGAGGCCAAAGTAGGTGTGAGAGTCAGTAAAAAGTCAGGGCCAATGAACTCTGGCGGGCATTGCTAATGAAACACACACACACACACACACACACACACACACACACACACATCCCACAAAATTACATCCCTGAGAGAGCACAAGAGCCCAACACCCAATCACACATGGGGGTACATAGATATTTTCTTTCATCTGTGGATTTCATTGCCGTTTCACTCTAGTAATATTCCCAATCAGCTAAATGAAAGAAGACCATTGCCAAGATGGTTATCTATCAAGGTTTTCAGAACACGTGGTGGAAACAGGATGCTCTTGCTCCAGATTTGTTAACTTACATGATGAACTCACTTTAATACTGAGACAATGTGGGCAAAGTCACACAGTGTAGTCCAAGAAATGGGCTTTGCTGCTACCTTCCAGCTACCAGTGCGAGGAGCCCACCCTCTCTGTTCTCACCATCCCACGGAGAGGCCACACGTCACTGCTGCTGGACCCACCTTAGATTTGAGCATCAGCAGAGGTCCCTGCCCAGCTGCTCCCCTGGCTTAGTGCAAACCAGAGACTCACCTATGGTTTGAGCAATGAACTTGTGGCTTCAGGCAACATCCATGTGGTGTAAGTGCAGATGCCCACTATGCAAGGAATTATCAGAGAATACAGAACCAGCAACTTGTAAGAAGTTGGATTCTGGCTCCTGGGGAAGGGAAGCTGAGTTCCCATCCCTGTCAGCTATTGTTGGGCAACCAGAGCTTCTAGCATCAATCTTCAGGCATCCCTGATTGACTCTCCACAGATGCAGTGCATTTTCTGACTTGCAAAGGAGGTAAGAGCTGATTCCCTGAATAGGAAAGGACTTCAAAAGATTATCTAGTCCAACCCCTATGCTTTTAAGCAGAAAAAGGAATCATTATCCTCCTTTTACAGATAAAGCCCCAAATTGGGAATGATTTCTGTCTTTGGGCCAAGCCAAACTTTGATCCTGTTAACAAAACTCAGGTGGAAAATTTAAGAAAGAAGAGATGGACACTCTCTTCCTATTAAGCACCAAGACAAAAAAAAAAACCTTACATATTATGTGCATTTCCTAAAAATGAAACTGTTCTTCTCAGGACCTGTTGGGTCCTAG